ACAAGGAGGGCTGAGGGCTCTGCGGCGATTCCCAGGGAGGTTTTGAGGGGCTCCGGGGTCATTGGCCGGGCAGGGCCCGAGGGGACGCGCTCGGCCGTAAATTCACCTCTGCGATCCACGATGTACGGGGTCATAATCTCGTAGTTGTATTGGCACCTCTCCACTGCAGACAGCAATTGCTCAATGTAATCTGGGTCGCTGTTACAGGACTGGGCCCGTTTCTCCCCATAGGGCGTGTACCCCACAAAGTGCCCCACGTCGCTGTCGAACCTCGCGTACTCCTCCTGGTTGTAGATGAACCTCACTACGACCCTCACCTTCTCCGTGCCGTTCGTGAAGTGACACTCGAATTTATGGTGCTCCTGGAAGACCCCTGAGTGTGCAGGGACAGGGCAGGGGCTGCTCCCCCAGCAGCCCCCGAGCTCCGGTGTTCACCCCGGATCCCCACACCGCCCCCTCGCGTGCCCCACGGCCGCCACGGGACCCTCCTGTGATTCTCTCTTCTACTCTTCTTCCCATTTCCCCTTTCACATCCTCTCCGCGCCATTTACAGCCACACCCAAGATCGGTTTTAGCGTCTCATATCCCCGTTTTCCCCATTCCCCACTCCGTTTTCCACAATCCCTTAATCCCTAGCCCCCTCCTGCTCAGTTTTAGGAACTCGCCCTCGCCTTTTCCCCTTTTTTTCAACCTCTCCCACCCATTCTCACCTTCCCCCAATCCTCAGCCACTCCCGTTCTTTCTTTAGGGTTCCCCTCATTTTCCGCCTCAATTTTTGGGTCCCAAACCCCATTTTTTCCCCTTTCCCCCTTTCCCATCGCATTTCCCGTCCCCCCCGCTCACCCGAGAGCTCCTCGCCCGCAGCCGGGGCCGCTCCCAGCACCACCAGTGCCACCAGTACGGCCCCAGCTGCCGCCACTCGCCCCATGGCCAGCGCCGGGCAGGTGCCGCCAGCCCCGAAGCCGCCGCTGGACTGGGAGCTCCAGTCCGGACCAGTGCGGGCTCATCCCCACCGCGCGCTCTGATTGGCCGGACGTGATTTTGGAACGCGTTCCGATTGGCCGGGTGAATTTTGGCAGCGCTGTGATTGGCCGGAGATTTTTTGGACGCGCTCTGATTGGTCGGATCGCTTTGGTGAACGTTTCTCAGAGGTTCTGCCTGGCAGCTGATGAGTCACCAGCGAAACGCGCTCTGATTGGCTGAATTTTAGGGGGCGTTGTAAGGGGGGAAGTGGGGTTTTGGGGTCCTTGGAGCGGCTCAGGGGGGTCCCGGCGCCTTTCGGGGTTCTCTGGAGCCGCGTTGGGGTTCAGGTGCCTCCCAAGGCCCCCCCAGAGCGCGGTGACACGGGGGGGACACACGGGGGTCCCCATTCCCGATCCATCCCGGGGCCGCTTCTGCCCCTCCCCCAATCCCGGCCCCCCCAAATCCCTCCCCAGCGCCCCCCAATAAACGGGCCCGGGGCCAACTGGGAAGCTTTATTGGGAA